TAGAAGCCTGCTCCTTCTTGTTTTAAAGTGGGATTAATAGTTAGTCAAGCAAGAAAGGCACGTTCTCAGGAAGTAGAAATGAAATATTTATAATTGAATGTTGATCTATTTGAAATAGAGAACAATTGATAAGTTCAGAACTGAAATAGAATTATTTCATTTTCTCCTTCTGAAAGGCAGCCAGGGTGCCTAAAACCACCTTGCAGAGCCCTGCGGATCTGAGCAAACCTTCAAAGGCTATCTTCTGGTTGTTTACTCATGTGTGTATGTGTGCACACACAAAAGAGAGTTTGAGTATATATGTGAGTCTGTGTGAATGTGTGTGGGATATAAATGAATGAGTATGTGTGTGGCGTGAGTGTATGAGTATGTGGTGTGTGTGTGTGTGTGTGTGTGTGTGTGTGTACATACAGACGTCAGAAACGAACACAAGCTCCCTTGGAACTGGAGTTAAAAGAGTGTATGGGGCACCTGGCTTGTTCTATGCTAGATTTCAGACTCTGGGAAACACTCTTAAGCACTCAGCCATCCCTCCAGGAGTCCTGGATCCCCACAGCCCTTATCTGCAGCCTGGTCTTCTCAATCATTGCTCCACCCTTCCCTTTGTTCCCTAAACTCTTCATGGACAAACACCATTTACTTCAGACGTGGCCTGACTGACAAAGGAGGCCATTAGAAACACCATCTTCTCCCTTCTGGCGGCACCAGATCACAGCTGGCATCTCCCCTCTCTGGAATACCTCCCTCTTTCACCCAGGATGGCCATGTGCCCCACCCCCCAGCCTACCCCTGACCAACTGATGTTTTCAGATCAAGTATATGACATTTCTCCACTAGGAACTTTGGGGTTTGAAGAACAACTTTACTCTTAGTGTAGTTCAGAGTCAAATTAGGCTGACAGTGGTGTGGCAGGCAGAATCTGCTGGGGACATAACTCCCACTCGTAGAGTTTGGCCAGAAATGAAACACAGGAGCCTAGCCCTCTGAAGTCATGCGTTCCTCTCGCACAATGAAAATGCGAAGCTGAAGAGCAAACCGAGGCTTGCCGCGGTGGACGACGGGCCTCCTGCTCTCTGCTGGAATGGTCCCAAAGCATGCATCCTATCTGCTGCCACAAGTCAATCAGCTTCCACAAACACCCCGGGAAGTATAAGATCTTCTCCGTTTTGTAAATGCTGAACCTGATGCTTGGAGAAGCCAAACAGCCCAGCTGACACAGGCAGGCAGTTGACGGAACCAAGACTTCACAGCGCTTCACTAGACACCCAAGTCCATATTCATCCTACTGCTTATGCAGAACAAAGGAAGAACTAAGAAAAGCCAAGGTCACCGGTAGTGAACACTAGGGCGAGTGCTTTGGATTGAATAAAGAGATGGGGGGGGGGGGGAGTCACTTTGCATTTGGCATAAGGACTCACTTTCTAATATTCGTAAACACCTGAGTTAGTAATTTAAAAATGAGGGAAATAAAATATGAAAAAGTAGATGAAGGCCCTTGGGAAGCTGAGGCCACATAGAAAGCAGGGCTGCTGAGTTCATCTGTCCAGTTCCCCTTAGGAAAACCAGCCACTGTGTAGAAAATCCGAATAAATATGAGCCGCAGAGCCAAGAGCGCCTGCTTCTGAAGCCACCTCTATGCGGAAGGCATTTGCAATTTCCTACAGGGCTAGTGGTGGAAGGCTCTGTCCCTCATGTTGGAGCAGGAAGCCATAAGCATCAACTGCTGGCCACTGGGGAACTTACCCTTCCTGGATGTTTTTTATTTGCTTACAGACTTATCGGAAGTCACTTTAATGGAGCGAACCAGCTTATCAATAATTAACTCACACACAGTTATCAATAATTAACTCATACACGGGGCCGATCAAACAGCTTCTGGTCCCTTTAGCTTCCATTTAAACACGCATCTGCCTTCATCAGAATAAAGATAACGGCACTGTTGATATACAGGTCCAGAGTTGTCAATTAATGGATTTATTAATTTAAGTAGTTCCAGACCTCCTTAAAAACCAGGGGCAAGCAGGACCCAAGACTGGGTCCTGCCATCGGTGCCTGTGAAGCGGGAAATGTGGGAACCAGCCATGATAAGCTAAATATGAACAGATCACCCAAAGGAAGTTCTTTACTTCCAACCATTATCACCTGCCAGAGTAGGACTCAGCCACCAGAGTCTCAGTAGTTTACCCTGAAGCAATACCTGGTTGCAGGAAGGACCATAAACTAAGATTACCTGAGCACCACCCAAGAACAGACCATCCAAACATTTCAACCGCTGTAGATAGGATCACCTGCCAGTACCCACTCACCAAGACACCCCTAGACAAATGTCAGCCAATCAGGGGTCCTGAACCTCAGAAACCCCTCACCCCCACTTTTACTACTATAAAAATCCAACTCTAACTGAGCTCAGGGCTCTCCGTTTATTCCAGTACGATGGACATGCGGAGAGACCGAGTTTGCAAACTTGCATAAAACAAAGGCTCTTTGCTTTTGCCTACGGGGGTGGGGGGGGTGGGGAGATAACAGCACAAGAGTCAGCAATGCCCTTCTCCGTAGACACAGCTTAGCAGACACACTGGGCATAGCTGTAAAGAATCCTTGTACTACAGGGTCTGCAAGTCCCAAGTTTCCAAGATGCACAGTCTGGGAAGAACTCAAGACACCGTCTAAAGACTGGACGGGGCATCAAGGGCGCGAGTGTTTCTCTGAAATCGTAAACAATCGTAGCTAGCAACGATGGAGCCCACAGCAGCAGGAAGTCACTCGGAAACTTTATTAAAAGCACTCTCGCATCCGAGCTGGAGCCACAGTGAGATTTCTTAGCACTCATGAATATGTATTAGGGTGTACGCTTCACAACAGAAATTAAGTACCGTGCAAATGGAAAACAGATTTCTAAGAATCCGTCATGTGTTTATATCCTGCAGACTGTCTTTTAAAGCCTGTAACCAGATTCTTGTTCGGCGTCTCAATGGGATGGAGGAGCTGCTGATATCTGGACATTTTCCTAAAATGAGTCTTTTAAGAGATTTTCATAATCTGTGCATCGAAGGACTCCTCTTCGCCCCCTGGTGGCAGGGTTGCAAACTCAAAGTAGTGTCAAATACCTGAGGTTCTCACGGACCCTCTCTTCAGGGCAGTCCAGGCTCAGCTGGATGGAGAGGGAGAGAGGAGGCACCCTCACTGCCACCAGAGGGCTCTCATACAGCTTCTGCTGGCCGTGGGGCACTAAGAAAGCCCTGGCATCATACCCCCAATGCCCAGAGAGTGAGCTGAGCACACTGATGTTTCATATTTAGCAAGAAGAGTCTTACATATGGGCTGGAGAGATGGCTCAGAGGTTAAGAGCACGGGCTGTTCTTCCAGAGGTCCTGAGTTCAATTCCCAGCAACCACATGGTGGCCCACAGCCATCTATAATGAGATCTGGTGCCCTCTTCTGGCAGAATGATGTATACATAATAAATAAAGAAGAAGAAAAAAAAAAGAGCTGCTAAAAATACCTAATACTTCAAAAGACAAAAAAAGAGTCTTACATACTTTTAAACAGCTTGCCTCCAAAGATGTCACCTTGGACTTGGTGACAGCAGTTGAAGGGATCCTCTGAGCACACACTCCAGACAGACAGTCAGGTGATAAGCAAAGCTATTTATCCATAGGAGGTGGAGAGCTGGGGCGGACCTCCTTTGCAAAGAGTAGTTAAAAGACTTAGAGTCCGAGAATGGCAACCTTTAGAAGGGCTAACCAATTTAAAAGTGTACTACCAGTGTGCTAGCGTTGCTACTTCCTACTGGAAAGCAATACTTGGCACTGTAAGAAGGGCAAAACAAATGAGAAAAAAAATGTCATGTAGGATTGTTTACTGTGACGTCAGAAGTAAGGGGCCACCTACCAGCTTGTTGGCGCTCTGGTTCAGGAAGACCAACCAGTTAGTCCTCCACACGGCAGGCTGCTCACTGCCGACACCCCCCAGCCTCTGCGTAAGATGCAACCACTTGGGAGGCAGAGGCAAGCAGATCTCTGTGAGTTTGAGGCCAGCCTGGTCTACAGAGTGAGTTCCAGGACAGGTAGGACTGTTTCACAGAGAGACCCTGTCTCAAAGAACAACAGCAACAAAAAAAAGATGCAACTGACCATTCCTTTGCCTCTCTCCAGAGGACTCGCTCCATGGAGCTACCACAAAAGCCTGGCCCAGAGAGTTTCTCTGTAGTTACAGGAAAAGATAAATGAACCACAGACCCTATAACCATCAGCACCAGAACCAGAACCCCCATCCAGTTTTCACTTTGTAGAAATCGATCCCTCCCATACCCTAGCTGGAGGCCTTTGGCGAGTCACTTGACCACTCTGAGACCCTCATTCACTGCATTTGGTAATGAGAATGACCCCTTCATTCCACAAGGTCATGGTAGCACCCCAATAGTGTCCTACCTGGTGTCCACAGCTCTGTAGACTGCTGTTAATGGGATAGCAAGAGTGAGCCACAAAAGCAGCTCTGAGTAGGGACTGTGATGGGAGACGTGCAGAATGACCCATGTCTCAAGAAAGACAAGAAGGTACCACTGGGTCCCTAAAAGTTGAAAACAAACCAGTCTACCTTAATATTCTTCCAAATTCAACAAAGGACATTGACACCATTCCCTGGGTATGTGACCTCCATACATTGTATACCATGAAAATCAAGGTACCTGGTTTTTAAAACTCAGGGCTGTACATGTGCCTTGGTCGTGGTGCTTGCCTAGCATGTGTGAGGCCCTCAGCACATCATGCACACACACCAACACGTCCACTAATTACTACCAACCACAGGGCTAGAGAGATAGCTCAGCGGTTAAGAACACTGGCTGCTCTTCCAGAGGACCCAGGTTCAATTCCCATTACACACATGGTGGGTCACAACTGTAACTCCAGTTCCAGGAGATCCAACACCTCACACAGACAGACATGCAGACAAAACACCAATGCACATGAAATAAACAAACAAACAGAATAACTACCAACCTGTCTTTGTGTCCTGGGGACTAACCAAAGTCAGTAATTTATGTTGAGGTTCGTCACGGTACATGGCGCAAAATCGAAGAGATGAAGTTCCAAGTTTGACCTAAAGAAAAGAACAACTGAATGACTATTCTGCTCTCTCACTGGACTAAAGCATGGGAAACAACTGGGCAATTGCTTGGCACGGTGCTCACTGAAAGAACACGGTTCGCAGAGGCAAACTCAGGATGCAAGAAATCCAACAAGGGAAGCCTTAGTCGACCTAGGTGTAGCAACGGTCTTGCTTCTGTCTGCCACCAGCAAGCCCTCCCATCCCAAAACCCATGGGTTAGACAACTGTTCTTCGTGCACTCTCCCTTCCCTGTGAGTAGTGCTCCTGAAGCCTTCTGCATCCTGGGCCTCCCTGCACCCCAACCTGCAAGGCTGACGGCCTCACCCCACCTCACACAAGAAACTCTGCCACCATCTTCTTCTGTTCTAGAGCCCTGGTAGCCGTTCAGTAGCATGTGCCCAGGCTCTGCCTGCCTCCACAGCAGTTCCTGCTGTCTGCAACCCTGGCTCCAGCTCTGAAGGCAGCCATTAAAATGGGTAGTGTGTCTGAGCCCTCCAGGCTCAACCCTGTCCTTTCGACCCCACGGTGGAGAAACTCAGATCAAGTCTGCCGCTTTTGCTAGTGAGTGAGAGGAACCAGACGGTCTCTGTCGGCCACATCTGAAGCCCTCGTTGCAATCATCCAACGCTCTGCTCCCAGCTTCTAACGCAGAAAGGCCAATACATTCCATTACCGGCACTGTTTTGAAAACTGAGACTATAGGAAAACGAGAAAAGAATATGCGGCTGAGCTAGGCAGGCAGGTTCTTGTAAAAAGTTTACAGCAGGCCACCATCATTACAGAGAACTGTTTCCTGGCAAGTCCTGGAGCTGGCAAACGCTTTGGTAGCTCCCTGTTTGGGAGTGACTTTAATGAAGGGTCCTCAAGGGGCTCGTCCACAGGGGTGGCTGTCATAAGGCCACTGAACACCAAGTTTGCCAAACGTCACAGCCACCTGGAAAGATGCTTTACTGTAGACGCAGTGTCTTCAAGGAGGACTCTCACCCAGGTTTTTTAAGAACAGGCCAAAATCGCAGCATTTGGAAAGATGAAGCAGGAAGATTGCCTGTGTGGGGTACACAGCAAGACCCTAAGACCCTGGCTCAAAAAGAAAAAAAAAAAATGGAAGAAAATAAAAACCAAAAAGAAATACAGAAACACATCAACTTGTTTACAGCAGCTAACCACACACGGCTGTGCTTCCTCTGCCCTTTGCTGTGCCCCTTAAATATCACTTAATGGACGTCCACTGCTTTGCTCCAGAGAAATCAGTAAGCATTGTGTTTTAAATGTGACAGGGTAATGTCAAGACTAGAAAAAAAAAAAAAAAAAAAACAGCTAATTATGCAAAGATGAAAGTCAAGACATGATACCTCCCCAAACCACCTCCTCCTCTTTCCTTCTGGTCTAGAATCTTTGAATACACAAAGGCCTGATTAGTCCTGTGGGGAGGTCCAGGCCCCTGCTGGGGAGCTCAGTTCAGCGTGCCAAGTGGCAAGGCCCTGCCCCTGCTTCCTTACTCACTGATAAAGTACGACGGTTTTTGCCTTCCTTCCGTCTAGAAAGCAAGAAGTCTTCAGTCATGTTGACATGTCATATTAGAACAACTTCATGTCAGCAACTGTTTTGCTTTCTGTTTGATAAGAACCTCAGCTTTCTCCCTCCACAGAACATACTCTATGTTGGGGTGCTTATTTAAGTTATTCAAAAATATGTGTGTGATAATAGCAGACTGTGGAAGCTGTGTCCTAAAGAACCTGGGGGCAGCACCCCCCAGGGGGCGGGGAGGGACAGGCAGGTCTCCTCAATCTCTCAAGCTCCAGCTTGGCTCCAACACCCATCAGATCAGGCAGTGTCTGACGGGGCCACATGTCGTTCTGCTATAACGCCACTAGGAGGCACTAAAAGCACGTGAAGACAGCAAGCTTCTACTGAGGCCAGCACGCTCCCGCTGAAGCCCAACAACTTAAGGACACCAAGGGGAGGGGGTTCTTCCTTACCTGTAAGTTTCCACCTCCAAAATCTCAGGGAAGCCACAGTTTACAACTGCATAAGCCACTCAGTTTATTAACTCTGGGACAAGACCGCCTCCCCTACCATCGCTGCCTGTGAGATCGCAACCATTTCTAGCAAGAGTGAACTCATTCACAGGTAAAGCAAACACTATAGGTACTGCCCGTGATAGCACGGGGAGGGATAGGAGTCTTAAACAGTGCTGGGGGGCAGAGGAGTATGGCCGCTAAAGTGCTCCCCTTGTAAGCAGGAGGGCCTGAGTTTGCTTCCCCCATAACACACATAAAAAGACAGGTGCAAGACAACACTGTGTCCTCATAATCCCAAGCACTGGGGGAGGCAGGGACAGGCGGATCCCCAGTCTTGCTGGCCTGGCTTCCAGTCAATGAGAGACCTTGTCTCAAAATACACGGCGGACTGTATTTCATATGCAATTGTACCCTGAGGTTGGACCTTGACATCTACACATACACACAACACCCTTCTTATTTTTCTCAAGACAGGATTTCTCTGTAGCTTTAGAGCCTGTCCTGGAACTAGCTCCTGTAGACCAGGCTGGTCTTGCACTCACAGAGAATTGTTTGCCTGGGATTAAAAGCGTATGCCACCCCCACCGGGCCACAACACATTATTTTTACATTTTGCCACAATAAATAAAGTTTCTGGTTCCCTGTGTCCCCTTGTGTATATATTCACAAGGCACAGAATCTCATCAACGCCAAATCTGAAGGGACACAGCTTCATTCCAAATCACGTACCAGCACTGAACCAAACCTTGGAGAGGAAAGATGAGTCTCACCTTCACTTTAAAACAAAGAAAGTGAGGTTCAGCCGGGCATTCATACAGTATCTCATTTCACCCCCATGCTAGCCCAAGGAGGAAAATGATGCTAATGCTCTCTCTGCATTTGGTATGAGAGTACCAGGACCGGAGAGGAGAAAGCTCTTGCTTGAGTCCACAGAACTCCTAAGTGGGAGGCATGGGATTCCCGCAGCTTAGCCAGCCCACGATCTACAATTTCCAGCCTCCTGCTTGGGGCTCTGGGATTCCAGCGAAGGGTTTCTTCTACATCAAACTGGAATTGCTTTAGCATTCCCTTCAGAAGTTTCTTTGTTAGTTGGTTAGTCTTTGTCCTTCTAAACCTGAGAGCTTCTTTCTATATAGCACCCCACTTTCTAAGTTACACTGGGCAGCGCGCTCCTCCAAGGAAGGTCAAGCATACCTGCTCCCCAGTGCGAAGGGAGAAAACTTCGGCTGAGGCCTGGGCTCCTTCCCTGAGCAAGTCATAGTAAACCTGAGCAGCTGCCTGCTGGCCCTCCGAGTCGTCCTGCAGGATATCCACAGGGTAGGCCTCTGTAGGAGAAAAGGGCGCAAACAGTTAGTGGCACTCTGCAGCTAAAAGAAGAGTTCGTTATTTCAGGCTTTTTAAGGAATAGTTTATTTTAACCATAACAGTCTGGCTGGGGGATGGTTCAGTGAGCGGCTTCCCATGCTCACATAAGGGCCTGAGATCTAGCCTCAGACCCCACAGATCTGGGCAGTGGTGGCCTATGCTTTTAATCCCAGTGCTCAGGAGGCAGAGAGGCAAGCAGATCTCTGAGTCTGAGGTCAGCCTGGTTTATAGACCAAGTTCCAGGACAGCCAGAGCTACACAGAGAAACCCTCAAACAAACACAAACAAACAAACAAACAAACAAATGCAAAAAAAAAAAAAAAACAAGCTTGCAATCCCAGCCCTGGAGAAGCAAAGACAGGCCTCTCGGGTTTTCCGGTCAGGCAATCTTTCCCTAATCAATAGTTCCAGGCCCACGAGAGTCCAGGTCTTCAAAAAGCGAGGTAGACGGTGAATGGCCCCTGAAGGATGGCACCTGAGATTGATGTCTGGCCTCCACAAGCACGTGCACACATCAGCACGTACACACACCAACACATACCCACACACACAAATACACCAACACATACCATGCACACTACACACACACATACCCGCACACACACACACACACACTTACACATAAAGGCAAAAAAGAAAATAAATCACAATCATGCTCACCAATTTTCCTATCAGACTTTCTTTTTTTTTTTTTTTTCAAGACAGGGTTTCTCTGTAGCTTTAGAGCCTGTCCTGGAACTAGCTCTTGTAGACCAGGCTGGCAGAGATCCACCTGCCTCTGCCTTCCGAATGCTGGGATTAAAGGTATGCACCACCACCGCACACTATTTTTAAAACTCCAGTCACACACCCATCAACGGAATGCTTTTTTCCCCCTTTCACTGTGGTCCACTTAGAGACCGTGAACACAGTCTCCCTTGAAAGTAGAGAAGGGCAGGCTGGAACTTTGACATCAGCCTTTGTCACAGGCAACTTAAATTACTCTTTTTCTAGATTACCGTCACGGTACAAGTCCCTAGGATTCACCCCTTTCTTGTCCCTCGGCACTGGGAGCGCAGTGGCTTGTGGGAATGAAAGCGCGCATCCCTGCAATCACTTGCCCAGAAACTAATCTAAGGTATTCTGCAGCCATCCTCAGCATCTCTTTCCTCTCACACCTCTGACAGAAACAGATCCCCTGGAATCATCCTACAAATGAACAGCACCCAGTTCTTGGAAGTAGCAATCGGTTGCCCCTTCAGCCGTGGACAAAGACGCCTCCTGCCTCTGGCTGACGTGTTCCGAAGTGCGTAGGGACTTGGAGCACATTCTGTGGACCCCACCACATCTCTACCTTTGATTTGCCGCCTCCTATGAGGGAAGTAGGCTACCCTAGCAGCAGCTGCCGGCCCCTTTCTTCCCCTTCTCTGTCTTCCCCTTCCCCTGCTCCTCTTTCTCCACGTATCTCCTCACATGGATTCATCTGGACATGCAGTCCAGCTCCAAGCTCCTTCAGCATCTTGACTCCTGTTATCTCCAGAGAACCATTGTTTCTGGGAGCCGCTCTTGGGATCCAAAAGGCTGCCGATAGCAAAAAAAAGTTTAAGCCTTCGGTTCACTCAGCTCACCCAGGCGGAATTTTGACCTCTGCCGATGAACTCCCGGTGGGAGACCTCGGGGGTGAGCAAGCTGCCAATATTAGAGGACTAGGACCAGGTTGCATGCACCGCAACCCTCGGGCTCACTTTCCGGGGTGCAAATGCCATGAATACACAGGCCCCCCATGGCTGAGTGGAAACAGACAGTCTTCCTTCGGGAGGTTCTACATCACGGATCCAATCAACCACAGACAAAGATACCAGGGAGAAGGACAGCACAGAACAGGTAGAGATAGCCTTACCACGATTCCCTCTATGGCATTCACCTGTATTAGCAATTATAAGCCACCTGGAAACTAGGGTATCCAGGAAAACATGCACAGGCTGCACATAAACATGCCATTTTGCAAGGGACTTGAGTGCAGGTAATTTGCATGTCTAAAGGTGGTCTCTCGACCATTTACCAGTAGACACTGAAGGAAAACTGGACATTCTGTCACTATTCAATCTTTTATAAAACATTTGAGTGTAAAACACACACACACACATACACATACACATGATGTATAGAGTACTGAGAATACTGTATACATAATAAATAAAAGTGCGCTGTCAGAAATCTTTAAAATAAAGACATCAAGGGTTGATGGCTTACTGGTGGCAATGACTAAGGGAATACAAAAGAGATGAGTTTCCATAAAGCCATGATCGTCTTTGGCAAAGAAGGCACACACCCATGTGCTCTCTACATGCAAAAACATGTGCTCAAGGAAGCTCAGGCTCCTCACCAACATGCTCAGCAATGCCGTTAGCGAGTACGCAGTGCAGTCCCTAAGCCCAGGCAGGCCTGCCCTGAGTCCTTACTGGGGTTGTCATGTACTAGGCACAAGAGCCAGAGGGACCTGAAGGATATCAAATTACCCAGCTGCCTGCTTCACATCTGTCACAGAGACCAACCCAGCCTGCAACCGCCCTCCTATCCCTCCCTCACTTAGATCAAGGCTGCAGCTTCTCCAGAGAGCCTCAGGCCTCACCCTCCCACCCATCTAAGCTCCATCCATAATTAACAGCGACAACCAACTCTCTCTGGCTTCCAGTGGCCAAGAGGCAGCTGAGTGTCCACAACCTTCTCGCACTGTATCCTGCCTGCCCCCAGTTTACAGGGAATGGAGCAAGGCTTCATAAAAGAAAATAACAAAGCACGAACCCAGGCCCGTCTGATTCCAAACTCTGGGTAAAGCACCAGATTATGTTGTTTAAACCAAAGCTCCCCATCAGTACAGCGGGGCACCCAATGGGCTCCTGTAGCCCCTACTCAGATTTCTGTCACTCCATCCTCAAGGCTCACAGCCAGCACTCCTCGGGGGGCCCTCCTCGAGCCCCAAAAACCAAGATCAAGGATTCCATGAGTTACTGAAGCCTGAGTTCAAACACCACTTCAACCTAGGATAGGAACTGACATGGCCTGGTCACCTTTCTGTCATAGAGTTGCAGTCCGCTCCAGCTTGCCCCTTAGTTTTGTCTTAGAGTAATGCTTTACCTCTTAACCCATAAACAAAGAAGCTGGGGCTTGGGAAGCACAACTCAGCTCCCTTCCCAGCCCCAGCACAAAGACCATTCCCTATAGAAAACCCTACACCCGTGCCTTCCCCACAGGAAGCCCCATACCCATGCCTTCCCCATAGGAAGCACTTAGGAAATGTGGGTGGTTAATCTTGGCATTTCAACAGCTGTCCATGGACTTGTCGTATGGCTTCCCACGGGTATAGGAGATCTAGTGAGCAAGCCAATAAATTAAGAGAAGCCAGCAGGTGGGCTGCATGGACCCTGGGTACCCATCATGCTACATTTGTACTGTGGGAGCCAGCTTTAGAATGGACCACCCCAGGACCACCAGCCTGAGGAGCACAAAGAGACCAGACCTGAATTTTTGTTGTCTCTAGGCCTATGTTTTAGGAGAATGCTCATCAGTTCGGGACCATCAACCCCCTGAGGTATGGGCTGAAGAACTCACAAGGACCATTATCAATCGGCCCCACGGAAAAGCTGACCTTAGGGTCATCAGGTTTGCTAATGGCAGCTATCCAAGGCCTAAGCCAGACACTTGCCAGGAGTTGTCTGATATCCTTTCTGGTTGGTGTGTGGTCAGGATAAATATCATGAAATTGTTGTGCCCTCTTCACATCATGAAATCATTCACCCTGAAAGTTAAAACCCGCTCAAAGAACTCATGTACAGGGCTCCCGAGACATTGCCTGTCCCCATAAGAGAAATGGGGCGCTTTGGCCTCTCCAAAAGGGCACAGGAGCAGAGGTGGGGAGACCTCTTCTCAAGAACAGAATGCTTGCTGGAATCTATTGTGGGAAGTCATTCTGCCAATAGCTTTGGAGTACCTGCCTTAGGGCATGGCTTCTTGTCGGCTAATGCGATCTCTTAAAAGGAGAGGCAAGGGTTGTGCGCTCTCTGGGTTGTGAAGACCAAGTGAGGTGACATGAAGCAGAGTGTGGCCGCTTCCCAGCTCCCTAAATCCTCAACTCCCTGAGTCTGTTCTCCCCCCCCCCCCCCCCCCCCCCCCCCCCCGCACTCCTTAACAAGCTGATATATATATTTGTGGTTCTCATTACAAGCAGAACCCAAGAGAGACAAAGGTAGCAAGCCAAGGCTGGTACCCCAAAGCTATTGGCGGAATGAATCCCACAACAGGAACCAGCAAGACATGGTCCCGCCTCATTATCTTGAGAGTGGGGTTTACTTTCTGTTGCCTGGGGGCAACAGGGAACTGAAATTAAGCACTGGGGATGTCAACACTCACCAGTTACTTGGCACCAACACTGGGTTTCATTGCTAAGACTTGAGACTGACTGTAGACCTGTATCCATGAGGAAGAAGAGTCAGCAAGAACGCCTGGGGCACCCTGCAACCAGGGCCCATGACACCCCATCCATACTAAATACCCTACCCCCGGGGAAACTCTACCACCCCAAAACTCAACAGTGTGTCTCCTAAACAGAAAATGTTCACATAAGCCTCATGGAAAACCAGGGGAACATGAAAATGAGAATTGCCCAAGTAGGAAAAGTGATAGACATTCAAACCCAGGCAGAAAAGGGGACTTCCCTCCTCCTTCCCGGGAGGAAGCCCCAGAACCCCCAACAGACCCCCTTTAGTAAGGTTCCCACTCCAAGTGGCCCTGGCAATGAAACAAGTCTGGGGTGGGTCAGGCCAAGCTCAATTCTGGTGGTGAAAGACAGGCCCCTTCCCCTCCCCTCAGCCCTCCAGATGTGAGCCCCTAGCAGGCCTTAATGGCTTGAACCGAACAGGAAATATTTTTCCAAAGCCAAAAGAATGTAATCCCCACAGCACAACACTAAATGCTTTTATTA